TTACAGTATTTGGTAAGTTGAGATGCAGTCGTGAATGCAATAGTAATTTCTAAAATGCGTCTCTTTTATTATTAGTTTATTATTCAGAATAGTAACTTTATCAGTGAATTTCTTTTCACATTATGTACTCTCTTTCGATGCTTCTCTGTACATTTAAGTCCCAGTAAAGAGGGTGTGGCCTCTGGGCTCGTCAGTCCCAGTGAAGGCAGCGTGGCCTCTGTACCTATTGGTCTTAGTGAAGAAGGTATGGTCTCTGTGCCTGTCAGTCCCAGCATAAGAGGTGTGGCCTCAGTCTCTCAGTCTGATTACTAGTGCTACTAGGTCTGCCTGGTCTGAATTATGAAGACATTGTCTCTGGTCCATTTTAGGCTGGTCCTTGTCTGTCTTGATCTGGCCCCTAAATGTACATCATTTTTTGTTCCATATTAATTTTGTTGTCAAACTACAGCTATCATGTCTATTCTCCATCCTCAAAATACTGTATGTAGGTATTAAAAAACTCGGGTGACACTTTCTATGAAGCTCATATGGTACCATATCAATAAGAGAAAAAATTCTCATATGAGGAAAAAAAAATATGAAGAAAAAAAATAATAAAAATACTAACAGACAAGTCCCATTTTATTTCAAAACAAAATCTGGGTTCCTCAAATTTTGAGCTGAGCTGCAATTTTTTCTTGATTCAGGCTCTCAATTATTTGTGTAACCTTGTGCATGAGTAGGCTACTTTACAGTATTTGGTAGGTTTTATTATTTAGAACAGTAACTTCATAAAATGAATTTCTTTTGACATACTCTCTCTTGATGCTTCTCTGTGCCTTTCAATCCAAGTGAAGAAGGTGTGGCCTCTGTACCTATGTGCCACAGTGAAGGTGTGTCCTCTATGCGTGTCAGTCCCTGTGAAGGAGGTGTGTCTGCTATGCCTATCTGCCACAGTGAAGGAGGTGTATCCTCTATGCATATCAGTCCCAGTGAAGCAGGTGTGTCCTCTTTGCTATCTTTCTCAGTGAAGGAGCTGTGTCCTCTATGCCTATCTGCCTCGGTGAAGGAGGTATGTCCTCTATGCATATCTGCCTCAGTGAAGGAGGTGTGGCCTCTATGCCTGTCAATCCCAGTGAATGAGGTGTGGCCTCTGTACCTATCTGCCACAGTGAAGGGGGTGTGGCCTCTGTACCTATCTGCCTCAGTGAAGGAGGTGTGGCCTCTATGCCTGTCAATCCCAGTGAAGGAGGTGTGGCCTCTGTACCTATCTGCCACAGTGAAGGAGGTGTGGCCTCTATGCCTGTCAATCCCAGTGAATGAGGTGTGGCCTCTGTACCTATCTGCCTCAGTGAAGGAGGTGTGTCCTCTATGCCTGTCAATCCCAGTGAATGAGGTGTGGCCTCTGTACTTATCTGCCACAGTGAAGGAGGTGTGGCCTCTATGCCTGTCAATCCCAGTGAATGAGGTGTGGCCTCTGTACCTATCTGCCACAGTGAAGGAGGTGTGTCATCTATGCCTATCTGCCACAGTGAAGGAGGTGTGGCCTCTGTACCTATCTGCCACAGTGAAGGAAGTATTTACATTTACGGCATTTGGCAGACGCCCTTATCCAGAGCGACTTACAAGTGCTTTTAAGTCTATCAAAAATACATTCTGATACTGGCTCACTAGGTCACAAACTAGGAATACCATCAGTCCAAAAACTCTGTTGGGGAGGTAATAGACAAGCACTCAGACAATACTTTTTTTTTTTTTTTTTGGTTTTGTAAGTGCTAACTTAAGTACTTTAGGAAGAGGTAAGTCTTTAGACATTGTTTGAAGACTGCCAGTGACTCAGCTGTTTGGACATCTAAGGGAAGTTTATTCCACCACCTTGGTGCCAGAACAGAGTCTCAATGCATGAGTGTATCATGCACAAGTGTATCTTCTGTGCCTATCTGCCACGGTGAAGGAAGTGTATCTTCTGTGCCTATCTGCCACAGTGAAGGAGGTGTGTCCTCTATGCCGATCTGCCTCAGTGAAGGAGGTGTGTCCTCTACGCCTGTCAGTCCTAGTGAAGGAGGTGTGTCCTCTACGCCTGTCAGTCCTAGTGAAGGAGGTGTGTCTCTGTCTCTGCTAGAGACATTCAAGAATATCTTATTAGGCCTGCCTGGTTGAAGACACTGTCTTGATTGGGCTCCTAAATGTACATCCTTTTTGGTCCTACAACAACTTTGTCTATTCTCCATCCTCAAATTATGTATTAAAAACTCAGGTCACACTTTCTATGAAGCTCATTCATAAATCATTATAACTATTATTATAATTCAATGCAAGTTGGTAATGCATTTTTATAAACTCTAATAATGCCTCAAAGCTCTAATAATGTTCTATAAGTAAATGCTTGATAACTATCCTTTACAGTGCCATGCGTTGTACTGCACAAACTTTTTGACTAACAATCACCTGTGAATAATTATAAACCAGTTAGTTATAACATGGGCAAACCTAGAGCTCCTATCAACATCAAACAAAGCAGCTAGTTCATATCTTTGTGCTTACTATTTTAAGAAAGAATTTGGGGGGAGATTGGAAATTGTGCCCTATGATCACTTGAAACTCTGAACCTTACTTTTGTTGGGTTTTTTTTTTCCTGAGTAAGTCTAAACTATTTGCGCACCACTGAATCCTGTTGTATTTGAGATGCATTATGATTCTCTCTACTTTATTAAAAATTTTTATGAAAAATAAACACTAAAGGCAAAAGTTAGTATTTAAATCCATCTGAATATTAGTAAACCCATAATGTTATACTGCCACAGACAGAAAGAATATCAGCAGTAGCGCTACAGTGTGTTAGTTGATAGTGGAAAACTGTGTTGCTTGCTTAAGCAAATACTCTATGATGCTAAGGAGACATCATCTTAATCTACATAATTTTATCATAAACTTCAATAATTCATATTTGTGTATATTTATTTGCCCACAAGATGGTTTTCTTGGTACTGATATTTAGCTTGATTTTCTACTTGAGATCTATTTTAAAATATACCACCTATTTTCAGTCAAAGCCAAGGGAATTTATGAGATGACAGCATTGTGGGTAATGTAGGAAACTGTTAACCAAAAATAGACCAACATGATGATACATAATGGTTAACATAATGGTCCCTCTCTCTTCCTCTCTCTGTCAAGCTACGCATGCTACTCCTGAGATACCGGTGATCCTGACACCTTCTCTCCAGACCTGACTGATCCATCCTGAACCCTAACCCTAACCCTAACCCTTCTGGTTGGAGTTCTCATCAATTGGAAATCACTTGCTGCTGCTGAGGATGTGCCCACATGGACAGCCTGAAGATCACTGGGAATACTGAGGATGGTACCACTTAAAAACCATGAAGATGGCTTTGTACCACAATTCATATGAACAGTTATGCTATGATGGCTTAGGACTACAATTGCTATGATAGCTTTAGGACTGCAATAGCCATAAACAGTTTTGCACTCAAGTCTCCAGAGATTAGAGATTCCCGCCCTTACAATATGTTGCATTTTTGTACTTAAACAGCATATCAGATTCAGTGGTCGATTGCTTTAAATATATCTTCAGATACACTGAATATAGGATTGCTGAACATGTACCAGATGCATTTTATATCATTTATGTTGTTTGGGATGCAATGTATTAAACACAAACAGCTGACCTTTTGACCCTGTTTTCCAGCTCTGTTTGACTGTGTTTTTCCAATGTAGCGCTATGTGTGTATGTGTGTGTGGCTCTTTGTGGCATGTGACCCTGGCCAGAGGAAGTGCTCCGTGTCATCAGGGATGTCGTAACTGCGGTAACCACAGCAGGAATGATGAAATGTAGCAGGTGGCCCAGCACTGTGCCAGCAACGAGGGTGTGGTGCCCATAATGCTTTGCTCCAGGGCACAGAGGGCACCAGCAGGGAGGTTTATCTCTGCGGTACAGACCACTCTGCCGCCCCCACTACAGCCCCCCTAGGGCTTCTCATATCAGAGTCTAGAGATGGAGGGTTACACGCTGTCCATGATGCTTACCTAACAACTGAGCTAAAATGATAACATCCCATCTAAAATGATACTCAGGATGAGAAACAGAGGCTGTGGCTCTCTTGCGGCCTATGTTACACACTTATGCAAGCTTCCTTTCCTTGTGGGATGTGGTGTGTGTTGTCAGAGAAACCGCTTGGTGGTGATTTTCATTTTTAATTTTTTTTCCGTAAGCTCCTTCCCATGATCTGTGTCAGGAAGTGGGCTGGCTGCTGATGAGACAGCACCAACTGAACACCGCTTCCTGGACACCTGATAGAGGAGAAGAAAGGGCAGTAAGGAACACTAGTACAGTCACCAGTATAGTCATGTAACTTTCGCTGACCTCCCAGGGTACCTGACCACAACCGTGACTCCCAGCAGCCGTGTGAAAAAACCACAGCCTCAAAAACTGCTTTTTTTCCCCAGTCGTGTCCGATTCTCAGAGCACTGTCATGGATAAACTATGTCCGGTTCCAGGACGCCGTCTAGTGATTTCCTCCTACTCATCTTTCACTCTCAGGTTGCTAATTTCCCTGTTGTTTTGTTAAGTTTGGCAGTTTACAGCAATAAATCTTTCAACTAGTCACTCAACTCCCATATCTCATCTGCCAAACACAATAGCATGCATGCTGCTTGCTTTGAGAAAGATGAATTAGGGGTGTGACAATATACTTGTATGATTTTATACCACACCATTAACCATATTAGGGGTTGCATGACTATCCATCCATTTTCTACACTTATCCCACACAGGGTCACAGGGAGCCTGGAGCCTATCCCAGGGAACTCGGGGAACGAGACGGGCACCCTGGACAGGGGGCCAGCCCACCACAGGGCATAATCACACACACATACTCATGCACACACTACGGACAATTTGAAAATGCCAATCAGCCTACAACGCATGTCTTTTGACTGGGGAAGGAAACCAGAGTACCTGGAGAGAAGCATGGGGAGAACATGCAAACTCAGCACACACAGGACAAAGATGGGACTCGAACCCCCAACCACCAAAGTGCAAGGCAACAGCACTAACTACTGAGCCACCATGCCCCCTGGTTACATGACTACTTATTTAAAAAGTCATCTTTTCCATTTCAGGACATCACTACTTTTTGGCTGTTTTATTTGAGCAGCAAAATAAATGAATAAATAAATAAGAACACACATCTCAATTAACAACACAGAAGCTCCTTATAGCTTATTGATGGATGGCAGGTTTTTCTGCCATCTTCAATTCCTGCTTCAGTACAGTCTGAAAATGAGTCTGGTTCATCACCTCTTTGAGCTGCCTTGCATCGCTGATCTGATTCTAAACTAGCTGAGTGGGAGTGGATAGTGACATGCAACCCACGGCTCCGAAAGCACTCTTCCGTACACCGCTGTACACGACTACCTTACTCTGCCACAGTGCAAGGATTTTATTTAAAATTTAATTAGCTCTTCAGGTCAATAAAAATAACTGCTGGAGGAATATGTTTGGGAGCTGGAGTGGGATTACCATGTGAAGTGTTAGCAAAGTGTTAACGGTACATTTATTTATTAAAAAAAAAGAAAAAGAAAAGACAGACAGACTTTTTCCAAGGTAGTCTTGTGCACTTGACTGTAGAACTGGCTTCATCTAGCCTGAAACAATTCAGCCTGCTTCCTTTACCATCTGCCTCACTGTTTTTTCCACCTCTAATAAATATATTACTGTTAAACTTTAACACCCTAAACTCCCAAGACCCATCACTAATAAACATATGAGCTAGGCTTCCACAATCATGGATTACAAGTGTTGCAAAGAAAAATCTTACAATCTTAAAGAGTCAATCTTACCAGAGGCCAGAAAGCAACAACATTGCTCCCATTCTCTTAGCTGCTACACAAAAATAACTCTAACTAAAATAACTCACCTCAGAATTTTAATTAATAGTAGCAAAAAAGTTAAAAGACTATGAAATAATGAAAATATCAAGAAATGAAGGTCGATTGTTATCCTCTTAAGAGATATTTTGAAGATTAAAAACTTACCATGTACATAGATCTAGACAGGCAACCATCTTGGATGGCCTATGACCTTTGGCCTAAAATAAGAATACCTAAACAATAAACCCGAAGTTAAAGGTAGTAACCTAAATTCCTCCATAAACCTAAAATATGTATAAAGAAATTTGCATACTCTAAAAATAGTACAAAAATAGCAAAGAAAAAAAATGGAATAACCCATGGGTTGTGTTAACTGCACAAGGTTGGGTTAGGATTTTTTATTTATTTATTTATTTATTTATTTTTTAACCCAACCTGTGGGTAAAAATGATTACATTTCGGGGCTGTAGACTCCAGTACTAGTTGATAATCCAAGATAATGTCACAGAGAAAACACAAGGTAATTTTTAACTAGCTAGAAGTAACATTAATACTTACGTAGCAGCCGAAAAAAAAATTAGGTAAATTAATGTTAACTCTGAATATACTGTAATTGTGTATGAATTTAATCTAGATTGTCATACAAAACTAATTTGTCGTATTTATTACAAGAAGCCAGCTTCGGCCATATTTTCTGCTCAGATAATGTTAGCTAGCATTTTTTTGTCAGCAGGCTAACATGTCATGCTATCAAGCCAAACTACACATTTAATAAGTTATTGCCTAAACCATGTTTAGATAATACAGAAATATAATTTCAACTAAGTTATTAATGAAGTTAAATGTGACCAAAAACTTTCTTGCTGTTGCAGTTGATTTCTTTTACTTGTTCTGGTTGCAGTGGAAATTTCCAGAAAATGAATCTTGACATAACGCACCTGTTCACTTTCAGCTCCGCATCCCCAACCTAACCGGGTCTTAAAATTACTCATCATTTTTATTCTGTGGAACTCTCATCTTATATCATCAGCTATTAGCATTATTTTATGGTAGATATTAGCTAGTTTAGCCCTTCAGAACGAAGTCCAATTAAGCAAGAAGCTGACTTAGTCAAATATAGAGCATGTTACTTTGGTCCTCACACTCCTGAAATGTGATGCAAAAATTTCAAAACTGTCATAAATATGTTGCAAGATTTACTAAGGGAAATAGAAAGGATTCATTATTCACAGGAAATAGTACTTCTGCATTGTTATGATCTGACTAAAGCCTAAAAGCAATCCTTTTAACAAGACAGTTGTTAAAAAAAAAAAACTATTTCAACACTTTTTCTAACTGAATAATTCCTTTTTGCTGTTGGTGCATTGTAATTCCTTCTTTACAAATTTGAACTTGTAAGCAAATACCATGAAATACCAGTAAAAGAACCAGTCATCATACCAGGAATTTCTCACATGTCTTGTGTTCCTGGAGTTTCTTGCCTCTTTTTTTAAGAATAATGGATTTCTAATTGGTGCTATAAAGATTCCTCACTCCAGATGCTAATTTTGCTAATAGTGAATGATAGCTTGTGGGTGCTAACTAGTCTTCTTAGGTATTTCTGAGATACTGAATGCTGGGAAATTCCCTTGCATTTAAACATAGTGTATGAATCACACTTGTGACATGATAAAACTCACTTTTAAATTTATGCCAGGAGAGTGGAATTTTTAAGGGTGGTTTCACACTTGGGTTTTTATTTTTACAGAAAAAGCATTGGCCATAGCCATAACAATGCCAGTCCTAGCTAGTATCAGTATCGGTTAACTACCTAGCCTAGCTTTCTATGTTTATTAGCTTTATTATTATCAGCACTAAATATTGGTTTTAACTCTGGTGACGAGGAGGTTGGGTTAGGGTTAGGTTGGCATTTTGGAAATGGCTCAATTTCAGCCAAGACTTTGACTTCTGGCCAAAAGTGACTGAAGGTTCTGGTGCCTCGGAAGTGGTAAGTGCACTAAATCTTCACCCCTTTGCTATCTAAGCTTGATGTAGACCTTCCAAAGATTTCTACAAGCCTGATTAGAAATCTATATCATTTCATCAATTTTTTAAAAAATTCTTCAGATTTATCTGCTGCTAATTAGACACACAATTTCTTTTTGTTCCTGCTGATACACAATAGTACAAAGGTCTCGAAATACAGAGCATGTTTATTTTTCCTTAAAGGGAACCCATATAGAGAACTTCAAAGTGCCACAATATTACAACGACAGTGTGTGTGAGTCAAACATGATTACCTCTCAGATGCTAATAATTAATCTGCACACAATAAAACAATTAAAATATTAAAATGTCTCAATTTAAACACTGTTATGGAGGGAAGTAACCAACATCTAAATTCATACATAATAATAATTATAATAATAGTAATAATAATAATAATAATAATAATAATAATAATAGCACAATTCCACAAAAAAAAACAAAAAAAACCAACACACACACATACACATATGGCACTATATATATTTTGACCAGTTGTTCCTCTTTTTGTCAGTTTGTGCTCCAGTGTTTGAACATGATGTCACAGGTGATGTCACCGGTGGTATCCGCCTGCCATAACAGTCTGTATCTGTTCCTTCATCTTTTCCACCATCCCTTCACTAACACTCGTCTTAAGAATCCCTGAATTCTGTGAGCCTAAAGTCTCCTCACTATCCGTGTCGCCATAGCAACTGGAGCCAGGTGACATGGTCAAAGCGATGACTGAATCAGTGGAGTCTCTGTTACGGTGGGAAGTGACTAAAGCCAGGCGAACTGCAGGATGTGGCGGCGTGATCTGAGACGGCAAGGTGCTGTCTGAGGGACATGCTGGGTGCAGGACATGACTGCAGTCTCTGTCGCCATTGCCCATTGTTTCGTTTGCGCCTTTCAGCTTGCTCTTGTCCTCCTCAGTGCTGTCCGTTAGGCTGCATGCGGTGCTGTCGTTGGCCTGGTCATTCAACAGCTTCACCAGAAAGTTGATGTACTTCATAGCAAGCCGCAGGATCTCATTCTTGCTCAGCTTCTTGTCTGGTGGGTGTGTGGGGATCAGCTTTCGGAGCTCCGAGAAAGCACCATTCACATTCTGCTGACGCCAGCGCTCACGGCTGTTCGTGAAAACACGCCTGGCCAGCTTCTGAGGAGGACCTGAGAGAGAACCAATTTGATCTTGTGATTTAATGCATTGCTCAACTCTAATAGTTCCAATAACTCTAATATTAGATATTAGATTTTAGCCTTCCATTTAATATCATAACCTGCTGTCAGTGCATACAGACTACGTACTTCAACCAACAGTGGTAAGCAGAGTGATTGTGAAACTGTACAAGTGGAGGGAAGTACCATTCCACTGATTTTCCACTGAAACAGTGTTGGTGCTGAAGCCAGTGCTGATTCAGGGAAACAGTAAACCTTTTTAAGAACTGAGCTATGTTTCTACGAGTTTAAGCTCTGAACCCTTACGTAATTACATGTGTCAGTAATGGACAGAGCAAAAACAAAAATGTGATGGATGATTGATTGTACAAGCTGACTTTCAGACTTTGAGACTCATCAAAGTTAACACTTCCTTCTTCAGATCACTGATTCACAAGTGTTTATCAACTATCTTTCAAACTCACATATTGTCATTTTAATAGCGGTTATAAAAAAACACTTATGTTGCTCGAGTTCAATTTCATGGTGACAAAATAACGCCACTTCTAAGTGTGTGATGTGCCACAGAACTGAAAGTTGCTGGTTCCAAATGAGGCAGCATTCTGGTGGTGGAACCGAATCAAATTTTATACCTGAGAATCAGTTCTTTGGGGTGGAAAAGCTCGGACCAAGACTAAAAACACCACCCTGACACTGTGTATTAAATAGTCCTTTAATATCATGGCAAAATTTGGTATGAATTCTAATGAGCATAAAGTATTTCTTTGGACTTTCATTCTTTCCATTGGATATCCTATTTCTATTTTCACGAAGTCCAACTGTCACTTTAATCTTATCCATTAATGACAACATGAACATTAAAGTTGATTAGAGCCGGGGTTTCTTAAACTTTTTACAATCAAGGAAAAAAAAAATTTCCAGACCCTGTCATTACAGATGTATTTTACAATCTGTTTAAAAAATTACGCACATTATTTAAAGATGTACAATACTTTTTGGCTATTTATTGGAGCCAGAGAGTT